AAAAAAAAAGGCATTCTCACATATATAGGTTAAGATTTGTTAAAATTTCAACAAAATTTCTTAAACAAATTATGTTTTATCGCTTAATATAAAATTATAATGATTTTAAGTTTTTCATTTCTTATTAAATATTATAAAAGTAGTTGTTGAAATAATAGTATTTGTATTTGTTGGGAAAATAGTATTTGTATTTGTTGGGATATTAATTCTCTCAACACCTGCTGTGAGAATTAATTATAAGATAAAATATCTTGTTTAGTTGCTAAAATATATTTGAATTACTTCGAGCTGTTTCTTAGGAACAGTTTTTTTCTTTTTTTTTTTTTTTTTTTTGCAGAATTTGTTGGGAAGTCGAAGATCAGATGATACCTCATTAAGGTAAATTGGTCATTTCTTACTTATTTTAAATTTACAATTCAATTTTTAACTTCTAAAAAAAAAAAAAATGGATCGGAAAAAAGAATTAACTGTTAACTATTTTTGCATATGTGAAAAGATAATAAAAGTTTTATTGGTAGATGGAGAAGTAAACAAAACTAAAATAACTGAAATTATTTAAAAGGTAAGCTTAAGATTGTAAATATTCAATTCAAAGTGTTTTGAAATGATAAAAAATGCATTTGGAAATGATCTATTTAATTTAAACTTAATTTTTATTACTTCAGACGACAAATGTCAATGTCATTCGATTCAAATTATCTACCAAATAGTTCCAGTCAAAGTTCCTCGCATAGTTCGTTGAAAAAACCGCAATCAGTGATTGCATTACAAAAGATACCACAAAAAATGAACTCATTTAAATCATCAGATATATTTGATGATCAAAAGGTTATGCTTTATATTTCAGATATAATTAAAATATGTTGAAGGAAATCTTTATCAATATTCAAATGATATGATAATTTTTATAAAATTTTTATTGTTATAGAAAAATAAAAGTTATTCATCAATAGCAAGCAGTTTATCATTACAAAGTAAAACTAGCAATCAGAATAGCAAAAAAGTAAGTTTTTTTTCTCTTTTTTCCTTTTTTTATGAAAATAATTTTTCCAGTATAAATAATGGAAATGATAAAGACAAATATGTTTAGATGTTAGAAATTTTTAGCTAAAAAAGGTTAGAATTAAATTAATCAAATGTAAATATATTTGATATATTCGGATGTAAAAAATCTTTTTGATATCATTTTCAAAAAAAAT